TCATCCTGGAGAGACTAAATGGATGCACTGGATTCAAAATTACGACCGGAACAGGCTGGCTGGATTCAGAAGGAACAAATCATTTTTGGATCAACTTGCAACGCTATGCTAAGCTACGCATCATCATGGAACAGAGTATAGAATGGCAGTAAACTCAACTCTACTCAACTCCATCGACTTTGAAATGGCCTTCGACAGCGTCGACTGAGAAGTAATTTGTCAACTGCTTCAACTCTATGGTTTTAGTGCCAAAAACCTTGATCAACGTCATTCAACAGCAGCTATGTGCTATATGATGCCGCATGCCAAGTGATTCACAATGGGAAGTTCAGTAACGACTTTGAAGCGAAGACAGGAGACAGGAGTAATACAAGGCTGCCGCCTCCTATCATCGATGACCTTCCTGACTGTGGTTGACTGGACTGGACTGGACTGGACTGGATCATGCAAGAGACTGTGAGGAGCTGTGAGAAGATGGGCATATGCTGGCTGAACCGATGAAAAGACCTTAGAAGAGGATTCGGGTTTCGCCCATCATGATTTATGTTTAATGTCTTGTCGCACAAACTCGAAGATCTACAAGCGAAAACTAACAAGTTGACAGAAGAGGTAGGGCAGCGAAGACGGGACTTCAAATGAACGTAGAGAAGACAGAGGTGATGAATATAGTCAACAACAACAACAAGAAGAAGAAGCTGCAATCACCGTCAACGAGAGAAACTTGAAGGAAGTAGCCTCTTTCACCTGTCTAGGCAGCACTGTTTCAACTACAGATGACACAGGCACAGATGAGGATGTCAAAGCCAGCCAGGATTGGACAAGCAAGACAGGCGTTCATTAACCTGAAATCAGTGTGGAGATCTTCTGCACTCAGCATGTGGAACAAGATGCGGATTTTCAACACCAACATCAAGTCATTGCTTCTATATAGTTCAGAAACTTGACACGTCACGAAAAGCACTTCCGACAAAGTACAAACATTCATCAACAGCTGACTACGCTCGATACTGAAGTCCAAATAGCCAGAATAATAAGAATAAGCAACAAGGAACTCTGACTGGTAGGGAACCAGACAATAACCTATCTCCTAACAAACATGCAAACGGAAGTGCAGATGGATTGGATTGGGCAAACACTGAAAAGATCGATTGGGGACACCACGCTACAGGCCCTCGGGTGGAATCCGAAAGGGAAACTAGTTGGTCGTCCAAGGCAAGGGTGAGATGGAGATCGTGTGAGAAAGAAATGAGGGTTGAAAGGACTGCAGAGAACAGAGTGCAATGGAGACGTGCTACTGAAGTGGTATGTTTCACTAGGAACCCAAGGGACAAATAATAATAATAATCTTGATCGACTTATATTTAATCTTGTGAATGAATTCCCGTTATGGTGAATTCTGTTTCTTGAATATGTTGAACCCCTTAAACGTTATGAAATTCTGACATGAACTACGAAAAGAATTATTTTTAGAGTCAAGGTTCTTTAAATTATGTGAGCAAACTCTTTGGAATAAAATTTGGAAAAAAATTTGTTGACGTAGGTGTAAAACCTGGGCACTGTGGTGGAATATAATTCCATATTAGATTTGCTTACTTGATTTATGACACAGAGTGATACAGTATTATTTACTTGATAAGGTAAATAATGCTGTATGTAATAAATACTGTAATAATTAGTGTAATGCTATAAGGAAATAATACATTATCACTGTGTTATAAATCAAATAAACAAATCTGCATAAAGAGTACCGTCATGAGGTGCAAATCACTTAGAACTTGGAAGGTTATTTTTCAGTCACCAAAGTTGTTAAACCCATTACCTGTAACCGATTCCAACTTATGTTTATACACTGCAGGAAACATTCCCCTGAATACCAGGAAAAAGAAGCAGACAGACGTGAATTGGATATTACAGTAGCATATAGGGAAAAATCTTCAAAATTAAGTTCAAATAGCACATGCCTGATGCAACTAAATCTTATCCTATAACACTATCAAAAATGATTTCGGCGGGACAGTATGTGAGTATTCTTTTGTTTAAATATCCTCCAGGGCTTCATGAACGAGAGATAATGTGCACACCATTGAGAGTTTAACGGGTAAACGTCTTTTTAATGAATTCTTGTTTCAGGGAATGCATGGGTTCAAAAAAGTATTCCTTTTGTATACATATAGCGTTTCTGATTATGTTTAGCTCTCATAGTGTCCTAGTCTAGTGCAACCTGGAGACCAGTGTAGAGTGTTTGCAATCAACAAGAGTGTTCAGTAGTATTCTCGCCAGTTTGTGAGACTTTTAAATCGTCTTTTAAACCGCTGTGTTTCTCGTAGAATTTCCTCGGACATAGACGTAATATCTAATTGTTTGAGAACTAGTATGATTGTTTTTATATGATACCGTGGTTGATTGGACCGAATTGATCGGTCTGTATTGGCATATGGGCTCCTGTGCGGATGCCTCGATATTGCGCATCCTGGATTCCACTGTTAGCCACCATCCATCATTAACATGTTTGGGAACTAGTTGGTCTCCATTAACTCTCACTGTCAACCGATATCAATCATAAAAATTGACTGCCTTTCTCTTTAAGTTCTGTTTCATAGCATTTCGTAATTTGTACTGAGAAATTCATCTTGGAGTTAGTATGTTCTACTGATATTCGCAATGAATATTTATTATAAAAGAATTTGTTTGAACTTTTGAATATGATATATAAGTTATGCACAGATAAATGACACACCAGTTTATTCATTTTATTTTTTTAGTACCTTTAAAAAACCACTCGATAGTATCTTTAGTAATCTTTAGTATTCCTGTTGTCCAACATAAGGTTTTTATTTAGTATTGCCCTTCTCTTTATAACCACACACAAACAATGCCTCTTAAAAAGAACTGTCATGAATGTCAAAACACTCCATACAGCATTAGCATTTGACCTTAGTGTGATCATGTAACAGACTGTCTGTTCACAGAATCACGACATTTATTTCACAACGTTCTAATCACACGACTTTTATTTAGTGAGCGACGCTCACTAAATGTATAGGTAAATGGTGGGAGTTAATTTTGTTCAATAAGAAACAAATTTAAAAAATGACTGAATACAGTATCGATTATCACAACAGAACTGAAATGTAGAATCAATACAATATTGTTGGTGGTCATTAAGAAATTTTGACCTGAACTCAGCTCATCAGTCTCTCTGACATTGTCTGTAAGACACATGTTTACTTTAACATTCTAAGATGTTCTCCTCGGCACTAAACTCAAATCAGAAATAATGAGTAATGTCATTCAGTCATCAACAGCCGGAACACTGATTTTTATTTAAGGATAAGCATTCTGTCGTATTAGAATTGTTTTCAACACCACAAATATTATGTTCGACTACCGTAGTTGATACAAACATTTCATCTGCTATTAGCAATTATAAGATGCATAATATGCTCCTCTTTCTTTTTAACTACGACATTAACATTCCGAATATAGTAACATTTCTATATGAAGTTAGTACCAGCCTGGTATCGGGACGTCCAGGAAGAGACCTCAAAGATCAGAGAACCCAAAACAATTACCATAGTAGCACCATATAATAAACAGGATGAGCAGTTTCCCATTTACGCGGTCCACGTTGACGTTTGTCGCATCTGAGTGGTTCTAGCTGTGGTACCAACAGGGTTTACCTTAGGAACCACTCAGTCAGTATCAGAGAACGTGTCACGAACCAACGAACTATACTAATGAGCATTCAGAAGTTACTCACACTGATCTGTAGATCTTATGAACCAGATCATAGTAACCTAAACGTCAGACGGTTATTTCTACAGATAAGCACAACTGTTTCCTGACACCCCATGTTGTCCATCAGCGCAATTTTAATAGCACCACATTACATTTTGATCCATACTTACGTTGATTTCTCACCATGATTAACTGGTCGACTTTCACCTGCTACTGAATGCTGACTAGATTCCATCAGTCATATTTGTACTGTGCTCACGAGCTTTGAAGACTCGTTCTTGTGGTGCTATTCGATTGGTGTTAGATGACTGAAACTAATCAGCACAACTTTCTGAAAGCTTTTCAGTTTTTGAACGAATTATTTGGCGATTTTATATGCGATTATATTGTCTGCACTAATCGTTGCGTCTTTAAAATATCCCTCATCTTTTGACTAAACGATTCATGTGAAGCTTCAATCGGATTGCACATTTCATCATAATATTTACTGTCTTTCCAAAACAAGAAGAACAGCAACTGTCAGCTGTCGCAGATTCCAAAGTTCACGTGGAATATGTATAAACTAAGTTAAAAATAGAAACAATGCAAAATTCCTCCTTCTGATGACTAATTAATTTGACTACTCCCTTCATTCATGAACGAAACTTCAATACAAGAAGTTTCATAAACAAAAAAGATTACCACTCTCTGTTACAGAAGAGGATAATAATTATTTCTTGTTCCAAGCCTATTACTTTAACAATTGCCTTTTTTCCATATCTTTCTATCTGGAAGAAATTTTTTAGTCCTTTCTGGGATTCAGTATTGTATATTAATTTCTTCAATTTAACATGCGTGATTGAAAACTCAAAAAGAAGCTGATAGTTATAACTATTAAGAGTTACAGTTTCATGCACCAAGATATATTCATTGTCTCTTTTTCCCACTTAGCTCGGGAATTGAACCAATTTAGTTTGTGTTTCCCAAGAAATGAGTTCATTTATTCAGAATATTAGCTAACTCAAAAGTGGGTCACTTATTCTTAACTGAGTTATGAGATAATTCTAATATCATTGTGACAGAAGCTGGATTTCAAATCAAAATATACTTTTTATTCATATGTAACATTTTATTTCCACATGTCACCGAAAACAGTACATCATTGCAAGTTGTAAGGATTTAAAGTATACCAGAAAAAAAACTAATATACAGGAAATAAGATGCATAACCTAACACATGAACGTGCACATAAATAGCCAGAAAAAAGTTTCAACCAAACTTACTTTGCTCTTCGTACTTTTGGTAATGGAGAACTGGTGCTGCTGATTATTTCAGTTGCCTTCTTCCCAACTGTAAAAATGACAGACATCGCTTATCAGTCAACTTCTGAGACGAATGACATTTAAGTGTAGTGAAACTTTTTAAAGTGAAGCTTTATGCTCAATTATACGGTTTTTATCTGCCTACTATAACCCTAGTTGTCATGCCAACTAGTTGAAGTGATTGTTTATTGGTCCAATGTAAAATTTTCTTATTGATAAAAAAAAGCAAACAATAGTTATACTAAGATGAAAGCTTAAGTAGTTATGTTATTGTATTCATGTAGAGTGAGTGTTATTATTGCTTCTTTTGCACTTTATGAAGTATGTTGGATATTATTTTTCACAGTGGATGGTTTAATAAATGAATGAATGTTATTCCACAGCTATATACCATTATCATGCTGACCTACAAGCATAGCTTACTGATTCAGTTAGCGCATTACTTCACAATTAATACTTTTTACAACAATGATAGTAATAAAGTAAAATGCAGTGTAACATTCTACCTAACAATGTAGTTTTTAAGAATGCTAAGAAGCTTTTTCTAGAAAGAAAAAAGCAACAAAAAACCGTATTTTTACACGACAATGCTTTGAAGAGGAAAAATAGAACTGGAAATGGACAGCAAACAACAACTATGAACTTGATATATTGTTCACACTTTACATTTACTTGTAAGGTTATGCTATCCAGTATCTTTAAGCCAGATGTGTACCGAATCTTAGATGTACGATATTTGAAAATACAATTAGATTTTAGTCATATGTGTTTGACCACAGTTATATAACTATACTGATTGAAATACCCATGATTTATCGGCAAATATATATATATATATATATATATATATATATATATATATATATATATATATATATATATATATAGCCCAAGACGAGAATGGTAATGGCTTGATGTTCTCCAAGATTGGACACCTGGAGATATTGGGATGTCTCATCACCAGGCTTACTGACACTATCAACACTAACTTCAGGACTTCTTCATGAAACTCCAACAATCAAAAGCTGTGATGTAAAGAATACCAAGGAGGTTATTTAGTATAGATGATAGATAAGTTTACTTTAAAACTACTGAAGTCTGGAACGAAAGTGCTATACTGACTAATTATGCTTTGACAACAAAGTAGGAAAGTTCTATAGATTCACTGGGGAACTTAGTTGTGCGTTTTACCCAGTATATACATTCCTATCACAAAGATGAGGACGACGAAAAACTATGCAACCAATAACTCTGTTTCCGATTCACTGAATAGTAGAGACAGCAGTTCAGTTACTAAAATGTGTTAACTAGTGCTGCTACTGAACGGACACATTATGATCAGTTTGCACAAATCCCTTGAAAAAAACAGTCCTTTAATTATAACCACTGCATGCTTCTTCAAGCATCACCAAATTCGTTCAATTATTTGATGTTCAAGTCTTCATCGTTCGTTATCATGATGTGGAATGTTTCCCAAAAGTTCCCTACGCTCAGATCCCTCCATAAGTTTTAAAATGAAGTTGAACCTCAAGTCTTACTTCCGGTTGGAGTCCTCAACTTTGAAACACCGAACAGTTACCATGTCCTTGAAGTCATTAAACATTTCAACAATCATATTATTCTTTATAGTTGATTGTTAAACAGTACCATTTTTAATATTTAGTCGGAAAATGTTGCACAACGAATAAACTTATACAAATCACATGCTGAAAATTCTGTACTTTAAATAAAATTATAGTTCAGAATAAAGCGAATGCGTCATTGTCACTATTACTACTATTATTGTTCAACAAGGGAACGTAATGTGACTATTAGGCTATGTGAAATTGCTTCATAGTGAACTATATTCAGTCAGTCCATGATGAAACTCAAACTGAAATTAATAAACTCTCACAAACCTCCAAACTGAATAATTGTCCATTGCTCATAAATGAGTAACCTGCTTTGAGATGAGCTTTCCCAAAATGATATTGAGAAGTCATGACCGGTGCGGCAAACCGAGTTGGAATGAGGGACAAATGCTCAACGATGGGAGTGTATGAAAGTCACGCTGAGTCACGAACTGACTGAAATGGAAAAACGCGAACATTTACATTTCCATTCAGTGCCTCAATGGTAACATACCCACCAAGAAACATAAGTGTCGTGGGTTCGAACCCTGATGGAGTGATGGATTCGTACTGCTAAACAGCCGTATACTAGAGCGAAATGGCTGTCGAGTGCTCCGAGTCTTTAATGGTTCGCCAAATGATGTCAGTTAATGATGAATATTAACTTGAAATCAATAAATAAATCCCTACTAACCTCAAAATGGAATTCATTTGGACAATTCCAATATACGGCCTCATTAAGAACGACCCATCCACAGAACTAATTTAACTGAGTACAATTTAACTGTGCATGCATTTAGAATAGTGGTTACGTAACCGCTGACGCATAAAAAAAATCATTCTGGGTAGTCTTTTCACTGACTATTTATTAGTTACTGGAGTTGTGCAAGAGGATGACAAAAGAACCAATCAATATCTTCATTTGGGTTGAACATTCATTTCAGTGAGTGATAATCATACAGAAAGGCTGTACATATATATTCAGCGATTTTTAATTTGAGTTCATTTTCATATGAATAGAAATAAAATGGATGACTTGACGTCAAGATCAAATAAGATGTGGAAAAATGTGTTTGAAAAATTCAACTTAAGCTTCAGAAAATCTAAAAGATTTAAAAATACTTATTCTGACGATAAACTGGATGAAAATGCTAAATTTACAAAATGGTTTACCAGATCATTGAGGGGACATCAACACAAGGCTAGAGGACTTTCCGTCCCCTCAAAAGCAGCATTATATGAGAAAGGTGAACAGTAAGTAAATGATTCAAATAGTATTTATCTTTAAAATATCCACTGTTCATTGAATTTAATGGTCGAGATAGAAGTTATGATTTAGGATGAATCGAAGTTGTATAATTTGATGTTAGTGCTGATTTAGAGATAGAGTAGTAAAGCGAAATCCTGAAGACTAATCTAACATTTATGATTTCCATCCTGTTAGTCGTAATGTCATTAATTTGAACACCCATGACTCGAAATCTTTTGTGATTCAGATTTTAAATCACTTTTCCTCATCTTTCTTCAGTATAGAAATTTTCAGTTGATCAAGATTGAAATAGTGAACCCTATGAGCATAAACTTTAATTTTACTCAGTCACTTGAAGGTATTTACTTAAGTACACATGGATTTCTAAGTAAATTTTAATACTACTGAATCAATTTTGCACAAATTGATTGTTTTCATTTAGCACATAGGGATAGCGAAGGTAAAATGTGAGCACGTTTTCTTGTACAACGAGATACATTAGTCAAGTGAATGACTACTCAATGACATTAGCCGCTTGTTTAGAATTTACTCAATGCTTATCAGATCAACAGACAGTTAACAGATGTATAAGACTGCCTCTAAGTAAAGTTCACGTAGTTTTTTTCCAGTTGATAACAATAACCCGAAGTTGTCAAAGAATTTGAATTGCTACGCTTCCCTTTATAATAACAGGGATTTCACCGCACACACAGCTTATTCAAGTCTGTTCGAGCTTGACGACTCGTATATCAATGTGTTAAGCTGATGCTATCTGATGTTGAAATAGTCAGTTTTCGTTTATTGGTAAATTATCCACTAGAGGATGAGAATCGGTTACATCAGTGCATACACTACTAGCATAACTTCTAACGACATGTTGGTATACATCATGAAATGACATCAGCTGGAGAAACATTAGGAACTTCGGAGTACTGGACAGCTGTTTCATCCCACTATGAGACTCCTCAGTAGCACATACCCATGACGCCGCCAGGAATCGAAACTAAGACCTTCAGGTTCTGCGGCCAGCTCATTACCATTAAGCCAGTGGTCAAAATCCAATGGTCCACATTTTCCTACTTCCGTCAGTTAACGAAATAGTGCGACGTCCATCCAATACAGTTGTTGAGTAACTGTCCTCATGTTCGGCTTGGTTGGCTCCACTGGTCATGACCTCTCATTGGAACTTCGAGAATCACCTCTCAAAGCTAGTCACCAATGAGCGCTAGATTAATCTCATCTGGAGGTTTGTGGCGATTTATTGATTGATTCCAGGTTGGAATTCATCATGGAGGGACATCGGTTAGCAGAACATTGGAAACCTTGCAGCACTGGACAGCTGTTTCTTCTTGGTATGGGATACCTCAGTAGCAGTAGAACATATGTCCTGGGCTCGATCATTGATGGCGTCATTGGTGAGCACTGCTGAGGAGTTCCATACTGGGACGAAACAGCTGTCCAGTGCTCCCAGTTTTCCAATCTTTGTCCGAGTGATGCGAGCCTATGATGAATACCAACCTGAAATCAATGAATAAATCCCCACAAACTTCAAAACTGATATAATGTGAGTGTATTGTGAAATTGGTCCTATATTGAACCTTTTGGTTTGACTATGCAGGTAATAGTGAAAGATGAGTCTGAACAGATAGAATCTGATAGGCAAATATCGAAAACATGTTTAGTCATAGGATATAAAGTCTCCATCGGCTATTCATTCAAACTAGCTCTCCCCCTAAATATATTGAGAAAAACATGAACCCAAAGAAACGTACCGAATTACTTGTGACAGTTTTGAAGGAAATCCTTCCTGTAAATACATACTTGGAAAGTGACATGGCATCAGAAATTCTGAAGAATCGACCTTATAGAACTTTAAGAAACATATTTTTTTCTACTGAGCTCCAAAATGTCTTCTCAAACCGATAACTGATACAGGAAGGTATAAAAGACAAGGTACCGCTTCAGGTCACATAATGTGTGACTACAAGTTTATTTGCATTTGTGAAGCTGGTTGAATTGACCATATGTAGCGTACTTTTCCAAAATGCATTTCAGAGCACTATTCTGCCCAACTGTCAAGAGGTGAGCATAACTCAGTAATCTATAGCACACTTGAACATCTGGTTATTTTGGATCACAGAGATCTAATAGAGTTCCCTTTTAAAGTATGTCTTCTGTAAATAAAAAAGTTTTCAGTGAATAAAGGTTTGTCAGTATCCACTGTCCTTTGCCGTCATCTATTTCCACTACTGCTCATTTTATACTTCCAACAGTGTATATCATTCTGAAAGAGCCATAGCATGTGACTTCAGATTAAAGCCTGAGAATGAAACAGAATATTTATGTAGCGTCAACTGTATAGGGAAAGTCAAGCATACTTCACAACATTCCGTCTCCTCTTTCTTTAATAATGAGAGATGAAACCACCGAAAACTAGTAGAATGAGAGCATTATAAGCAGTAAGTAGTAGTAGTACCAATAACGCTACTGAGGGTAAGCATAAATAGCGGGAAAAGGACCTCAAGTCAATCGAGAACGCATTGAAACTACACAGAGCAAAGTATCTCTGGAGAGTGTCATATAAAATTAGTGGCTGGTTAACTAGCCATTAATTAGGCCTCTGGGGCAAGACAGCCACCTCTTGTGCAACGAGTTTACTTGTTGTTTTTGAATACTCGTAGTTTCCTGCTGATATATTGGGTCAAGCTGCTCGACTTCTGTTGGGGGATGGGCTCTTACGTGGTTACCTCGATACTACGTGATTGCCAATTACGTTGATGTCTGTCCGGTGGCTAGCAGTGGAATCCAAAACGTACTTTTCGTTCCATCTGGGATTCGTCGGCTGGATGTACCTGCACACACATTTCCTGTTCTAGCACCTGTTCCCTCGGGCACTAGAACCAAGTATCCAGCGCTTCAAACACCAATGCGTCATGCACTGGGACACGAGAGCCATCAGTGGGAACAATATCACTCAGTGGAGTGTAGGTACATCCGGCTACTGAGTCTTGAATCGGACGATACGCGCCTTCTGGATCCCACTGCTAGTCACCAAGAGGCTAAATCTTATTTTAACCCTGTTCGTATCTTTTATTTTGCGCTCACATTTTTTAATCCTATTGTTTCTATTCCATGTATGTGTTACTATTATACTGTTGTTATTTGGCTGCACTTTTCCTTGGTATCATAGTTTTTTTAGCCGTTATTGTGATTACCTCTCAAAGATTAATTTTTGCTAAAGGTGGGTAAGATGAGCCACTAGAAAGTTTTAAAATCCTGGCAACACACTGACTTATCAGTCTACAAATTACGAAGACGTTAGTTTGGAATCTAGCCTGAATTAAGAGGAGTCTATGCTTTGAATTTATCGAAGTAATATGCCAGCTTTTCTTTGTGAATAAAAAGTTTGATTCGAAAACTGTGGTATTGATGAGCTTAAACATTGATCTCACCACCTTACTAGTCGTTGGAGCTTATTGAGTCGGGTCAGTATCTTACAATAGCTGTTCTAGTTTCAATTAATCTACATTGTTTATTTTGGGTTCCTTATAGGTGCAGTCATTTACCAATGAATTAACTTTGGCTTTTCTTCAGACTTTAAAATACTGCTCACATATGAAATCAGTATCTTGTTTTCACTTTCCTTTGTGCTCATAGATCTGATGAAATACATCGTAAATCGTGCCCAGAGGAATACCTAGTGAATAACAGGACATGGTTTCGTGGCATGTCACAGGCTCGGTTATACAGTAGCATGCATAATCGAAAAACTAAACCTGAATTTGTACGAAATTCACAACTTCTGTTCGGACCTCATGAAACATCACCAAATGTCAAGGTAAGCATTAGTTTTCAAGGAGATTTCGAATACCACATTCTATTCACTAAATAAAGAAGTGCACTCTTTGTAAACATTCAGAAACAATAAGAAGCGGTTTCTTTCAGGGATTTGATAATTCATGTCAACATTTCTTACTTTTCATTTAATAATTTTGAAAGAGAGATTGATGTGAAGTGATTTTGCTTGAGATAATTCAGTTTAAGGAAAAGTTATATGAAAATGGTAGAACCACAAATAAAACCTAAACTTTATCAAAAAAGCCATCAATTTTTTCAGAAACAGAGATTGATTCAGCGAAAACAAAATAGATTTCCTGTTGTTTCGTTAGTATACCCCTTTCTCTTTATGGATGCTTTTATTATACAAACCTATATTTTTCCATGGAACCTCATGAAAAAGATAGACTCAACCAAGTGAATCATAATCTCTAGGAAGGTAAGTGATCACTATATTTAAAACTTTCTTGTCTGAGTAAGGGACACTGAGTAAGGTGGTGAACTTTCACCCAATAGGTATAACTGAACTGCATTGAAGTCTTCATAAAATGAATTTTGTCTCATTACCTAGTATATGAAACTGATATGTTTTTTGGTTATCACTAAAATACTAAGGTAGGCGTTATTAATGGATATACAGACCAAATCAAATCTGACAGTAAGTTTGAATTTAACTCAAATAGTTTCTTCAAATTCAGTCACTAACAAGTTGCATGTGCTATTTCTTGTTTTTGTGACGAAATATTTCTCAAGTTCGCAAAAGATGATATCAACGTGGAGTCCATCAATAGATTCAGAGATATTAAAATACAAGAGTTGAAAGAAGAACCAGTTAACCGAATAAAACAGTTGAAGACGGCCAAAACAGGTGTCCAGGTATCAGCAATTGAAGATAATACTACACATCCTGAGGTAATGCACTGAATTCTTTTACATACAATTTGGTTGGGAAGTTCTGAAGAAAAGTAATCATTCCACTCATCATATTTACAAGAAAATGATGTAATGCACATAATTTACTTACAGACAGATCAGCGTAGAAGTTGGCATGCATATATATATATATATATATATATATATATATATATATATATATATATATATACGCTGATCTGTCTATAAGTAAATTATGTGCATTACATTATTTCTTGTAAATATGATGAGTTTCCATATGGTTTTAAAGACCGTGATGAATACTAACGTCAAAATCAGTCTACCTCTAAAGACCACCAACTGAGCAACAGAAATAAACTGATGTCAATGTGGCCCTACACTATGACATAAATGGTATCCAAATCCATCTTACATGTCTCTTCGTGTATCCGCATACACTTACGCGATGACCACAATGTAATCCATGACCTTTAGTCTCTTATTTACAGCAAACGGAAATATGAGTAACAACCTACACATCTCATAACGTGGTGTATGCACTTTCAAAATGAATGACTGTAGTCACGTTTGTAAAACACTGATTATACAGATATGATTCGACCAGGAAATGTGTACATCTTTTCACCTCGTTTGTATAATTTTTATATTCTAATCTGGATTATTGTGTTGAAGATGACTGACAGATTTCATGGCCAAACGTCCGAGTAATTCTATTTCTGACACGCTAACATTTATAAATATAGGATCCATATGTCAACCTTTCACTTGGTATCCAATATTTGTTCAATTCTGAATCATAGTCAACGTGAAAGCTTAAATTTTTAACACAGCAGAAGTGTTTTAGATACTATTTTATTATTGTGTACCACACAGATTACAACTTTTGATTATTCAAAATACATGGTATTTTGTTTTCCACTAAGTGTTTCTTTTTATATTCACCTCAGATTTGTTGTATTTACCAATTAATTTAGCACTTTTAAAGCATACACTGTCATACATCGTCACCTTCAGCATGGTCGTAACCTAAATCACTTAAATTTCTTTTGAAATAAGATTTATCAGCGCAATTTAAGTATAGCGAAAATAATTTTCGCAGGATAGTTATTCAAATTCATTAAGGGAAGTACAGAAAACTAACCGTTAAAATTTTTGAATACAGCCTATAAAATAAAATTGATTCTGTAGCAACATGTGAGTAAACTTGACTGAAAAGCAGTCATATCCTTATTCTTGTCAGTTATAATAATAAATGTTACGCTTATAATAGAGAGTCAAAATAAAACTACTCATACCAGTCCTTACGTTACTGAATGCGTTTCCATAAATTAAATCTTAAAAATTATGATTTATGCCTGATGAAAACTTTGTTGAAATTTCTTCCAAAGTAGAAAGGCTTATTCTACTCTGTTCTTCAAGATAACAAAAGGTATGAACGATGCAGCAACATCAGTGCCACAAGTATCATCTTCGGCTTATGTTACAGATGTAGCAACTTCTTCAGATTCACCATATCGTGATATTCCAGAAACCACCGAGGTTATCGATCAAAGCAGCTTATTTACCAATGACAAAGAACAACAAACCGTAACACCTACAACTCCCATCATAAAATGTACAGATTATAACGAGGATGAGCATTCCAAATTGTTACCTCCACCTCCACCTCCACCACCTATTCTCCCACCATTCTTCACAAGCTCAAACTATTTAGCTATAAATGATCTTGGTAAGATGATTTTTGTTAAATCTAGCAATTTACCGATCAGTTTTTATAAATAGCCGCATATCAGATAGATAATTATCTTGGTTTTGTATCAGCAATTCCATTTGCACTTTTATTAACTAAACTGAAAGTCTTAGGTTATTCAGTATTTGTAGTGGATGAACTGTGACGATCCTACCAAAACTGAATTATTATATATATTGAGCAACAGTGAGTGTATCTAGGTGTGTTAAATAGCTCATAAAATTTCATAATACAGCTGTTTTCATGAAATGCACTCGGGACCAGGAAATCTTTCTATGAGTGATAAAGTAGTACACTGAAAGCCACAAATAAGCTTCTTCTGCAGACGAAAGGAATTGTCCAAGTTAGGGTGGGCAGTTATACCTGAATATTTTTTTTCTTAAAAATCATAGGAATTTTTGTGCATTCTTCGTGACATTTGTTTGTGCTACAAAGTTGTATATTTCTATGTACCAGACTATAATTCACAATCATTGTGTGAAGGTTCACGCACGATACTACTTGGTTCCCCACATCGGTTTAGGTGGAACGATGCTAATAAAACACAGCTGGATGCCTAAAACAATCAGCTGATAAATTAAACAAGTAAGTAATCAGCTTTAGATATGGGTGATGACTGGAAGTGAAATGGATATGGTGGGATCCTAGCTAGAGACCTGTGGCTTACTGTTTGGATGTCCAGCTGACTGAGTTAAGAAACCCGGGTACCGAGCAGGTCTCAAGTTGACCTCCAATCTGCCCAAAAATTTAAACCACGAACAATTACTGAAGTCAATGTTATTAAATGAATAACTATATATGTGTAGTGAAAATTGTAAATATTTCCTTATTTTCTCCAATTTCAGTTTATAGTCTTATGTAGTCTAAATTGAACCGCTTTAACTGTATTTCTTTTGTTTTGTTTTCATCATTCATTCTCTGTCTATATAAGTTAATCCGTTAGAATGTATTGTATTGTCTCTCTTAGCTTCAAAGCATCTCTTTGTGGAATATGTTATTTTTAAAATTTCACTTCAAAAACCAGAGATGACTCCAAAACGACAAAATTAAAACCAAAAAACCAAAGGGTTAAATTCATATAATATACCAAAATGATGCATCCCGTACTAGGAATTTCCTTCTAAGTGGGATATTTTCTGTACAGTTTTACATATACACTGTACTGTATCAGCTGGCAATTTCTACTTTGAGTAGTTTGAAAATTCCCCAGTATATTGTCAAACCAAATACATTAGATGAATAATCATTCTCTTCACCGATGTCATCCTCATACTGTCAAATCGCATGTATTGAAAACAGTAATTCTATCCTGAATGTCATTTGATTTATACTATAGTTAAGTGCATTCTAAGCTTGAGGGCTGTGAAGAATTCATTTATTGAATTATTCATTTCATGTTAGCTACAGAAGTTTAACAGTGATTTTATTTGTGTAATGATGAGTAGTGGGTGGCAGTGAAATCCAGGATGCGCCTTTCGTCCCACTTGGGACTCGTCAGCTGGATGTACCTACCTCCCAGTGAGTGGTATTGTCCCTAGCGGGATTCGGACTCGGGAGACTGATCAGTTCGGTCCAGTCAACGACGGTGTAATACAAGCAATAACACTAGTAATTTTATTTGTCGAGTAACACTAGTACCGTATCTATCAGCCGCAATTATTGTATCGGACACCAATAGGAAATATGGAATGCTATAGGAATTGTGGATTTAGTATTTCTTTTAAAAACAATCCCTGTTTTGAATTTGTATGCTGCAAAGATTTCAAATTAAATATTTTATAAATCCATTCTTACGAATAATATTTTCATTATTATCACCAGAATCCCCAATGCCATACAATATGAAACCTAAGAAAATATTTTCTGCACCATTCAGGTTGAAAAAGGCTTGCGTGTCACCGGTAGGTCTCAGTATTCACATGAATTTGTTCTAGCATATTTTTCTCATATAAGCCAATTTTAGAGAAGTAAGAAGCAATCGGACAGGAATATCACTAATGAACTAAGCATATTAACAACACTTGCACTATGTAAGTGCATCATGGTTTATTGTGTGAGGAGCTTACGTATACCACGGTACCTGCTGTCAACCAGAATTGAAGGACTGGGGTCAAGATGTTGTAGGAAGGTCCCACAGACCAAATGTTTACTAGTGGGAAGTTGTTCAAAGCCTTATATATATATATATATATATATATATATATATATATATATATATATATTCTAGATAGTGCAGACAGGCCAGAATTTTAGTCAGTGACGAGTAGCTCAGTGAAATGAAGACATACATATGGATGAATATGAAGGTGATAATGAGAAAACAATGCAGTTCACATGCAAAAGTAACAGCTGTGTAATGATAAATTTAATAACTGAACATAAATTTTGTAAATTGTATCTGATGATTGATGGGGGCTTGATAAGTCCTTCAAAGTTTGCAAATCATGATTTGCATAGTGGCTGTGATGCTGCTACAACACTCAGGTGAATTCACATAGTTGACTTTAGATACCACTCCCGAGTTGACCTGAAGTTTCACCAAGGTACTGGAGCATTACAGAGTGCTGCATTCCAACGGTTTCTTATTACCAAAGTAGATTCATAGATTTATTCATCCGTTATGAATCGTGGATCCTATGTGTACCACCGATTAGGGATCAGCGTTCATTAGCTCCTTTAAGTGAACTCCTAATGCCCACCAATCCCATGATGGTGTAAGATATTCGCTTCAGTCCTTTCAACTTTATGGCAGCAGCCACGATAATTGAAGATAGTGGGTAGTACTTCCCTTACAGAAGCCATGAACATGTGGCCGTATGAAAGCGCTTCTGGAGCATGGTAAGGATCTTCCCACCGGTCGACCACACTAGGGTGTTCGACGAGAAATTTATTGTGTAACAGAAAATGATTCACACATTTCTCAGCCATAGGTATACAATTAAAGTCCACCCTATTTGATGAAAGCGCATTGAAAATGTTGCGGTCTATAACCACCTAAGGCTGTAAAAGAATCTTATAGTACTTTTGATTAGAGTGGCTATGATATTACTTCACGAATAAACGTTTTATCCGTATGCAGATTAGGATGTCGTTCAAAATTCCTCCAGGACTCATGTTTTGGTCATATTTTTGTGCATTACTTTGAACCCCTAATCTCAGAAACTTATGGCATAAAATAACCTGTTATATATGTCCGACGTTTCAGTAAAAGCAAATGGAAGTCAAAAACGTAAACTGATCTAATTATTCTACAGAGTGTGGTGAAGCAAGCCCCACTCTAATGTACAAGCGCAATAAGGCTAAGTGTAAGAGTAAAACTTTGACACATGTTAATTTGCTCGCTGGATATTTGACGCAGTGAAATAGTCTTATTTACTGGATGATGAAGTGGGATAATAAAGTTTTGTATTGTAAACATGCGTTTCTGGAGAGGAAACTTTCACCATTTATATAACCTTATGGAACATAGACTTAGATCTTCCAAACTGATTGCAGTTTATCAAGTTATTAATATAAATAGTTTTGTCCATTAGCAGGGAAATACGGTTCTTCTAAATGGACACTTTAGAGCTGCAATCACTATAATTGGGTCTTTTCGCTCTACGGGTTGTTGGTTTCTCAATTTCTATTGGTACTTCGTGGCTCCTTTGATTGAATCGTAACTCTCCTTGATACGGGTCAGTAATTCAGTCCAAGGTTTCTTTCATTTAGTTTTGGTTTGTAGCTCGTCACCAGATTGGACTTTCATCGACATATTTTGGTATTCTCACCAGGGTTCAGACCTTCTGCCAGTTTATTTCGAAATTAATTCAATAAGACTATAATTATAGCAGATGACGAGTGTTCCGTAAAAGAAACCTCTACGCCAGCTTAGGCTGATCAATTCAGGCTATTTTTCTAATCAATAAAGAAAACGATCAAAATCCTTCAATGGCAATTAAAACCGTTGAAAATGAGGTGCTTATTGCAACTTTTAAGTTTGGTAGTTAATAACAAAGGGTTTAAGTTGGTAACTTCTGAGTCTGAGTTCCCAAGGAAACACCAATACTCAGATGCAGGTAATTCCAAACAGGACTATATATGAACCACAAATCCCAGCGATAGTTAATATTCAATACAAATAATGAATATTTTTACTGATTTAGTCTTTTTTGAATAAAACATGTTTCAGTGTAAATCATCACCGCGGTGAATACTAAAAATTAATTGTATTTTTCTATTTCCTTACAACTTGACAATAAACCGACGACTCGAAACCTTGACCATAAGTAGCTGAGTAAAATTCGTTTGAAAGAAAATTCTGTATGGGTTCAAATTGATGAAAGCAATTTGTTGAGTGAAGAATTTGTGCGTCGATTGCATAGAAGATTTCAAATTAAAGGGAATAAACCAATGGTAAATATTTTTATCTCTTGTCGAAATTACCATGTTTTCTAGTGACTGAACTTTACATGCATCATTACTGAAAAGTATCTAATTGCTTTAACTCAGTAGTCACGGAAGTAATTGATCCCCCTGCATGCAGCGCAATCATAAAAACAGACTAGCCAATTTAGCTTCGACACGACATATACGTAGCTTAATGACATTGCCATCTAAATCTATGGTATAACTGTATTCCATACAGTATAAAAATGCTTTGGCTGGCTTTTTCATGGTTAACCTAATTTTCAACTACGATCGTCATACTGCTAACTTAGCACCTATTGTAGTCAACTCTGAAATTCTGAGCACAGAGTTTTAATTGAACATATAAAGTATTGGATATACGTAGACTAGAAACAGCAATGTAAAATAAGTCATCTACCAATATAGATGAGGATAAAATATTGATTTCAGCCTATATGACGAAATATAGAAATTTTTGTAACCTGAAATAGATCATTTCATTTACCTCATATCTTGATGTTCATCAGTAGAACATTTAGTCAACACCTGTTTCGTCCTGTAATTTTTGGTGCTGAGAAAGGTTAGTATTCACAACTTTTCATTCTATTAGCATTGCCGACATTGTAAGAGGACAAACTTCGTACGAAATTGTATATTTACTTCCATATGAAGAGAAGTTGTGTTTATTGGATAATGTTTATGTAGCCACCAAAGCAGATTAAGTGGAAATTGATTGGAATGAAGCTTGGTAACTTTTATGCTTTATGCTTCTTTTGTCGTGCTTTACAAATACCTTTTTATTTTATCTTCATTTTGCTTTACTATATTTCAGATAACAGGCGAATCAAATAAAGACTGCAGAAACACTGCAGGTACACAAAATACGAAATCTAATCGAGACTCACTAATGTCAGACCAGTTAAGTTCATCTTCATATACTCCAAGGAGCATAGGCCTTAGGTGTCAGTGTTTGAACTCTCGTGCTCAAATGTTAAATATACTACCATTCAAAGCAGCCCAGGCGATTGCGATAGCCATGGTTTCAGCACATTTTGATCCAGAAAACGTGGCTGAAGCTATAATCGAATTAAAAACCTCTGTTCTGGTGAATCGCAGGAAATCGCTTTTATCCAAATTAACTCTAGATAGTCTTGAAAACGATTCAGATTCTCCAGAAGATTCAACCACATACCGTTTACTACCTGAAAATTTATTAATTACACTCATTAAATTTATGCCGGAAATGGATGTTATTCTGAAACTGTCCAACTCACAGATCGATATATCGGTAAGAGATGAGCAGATCAACAAGAAGTAAATATTTATTCTAGGAAAAGTTAATAATTACTGCATTAATAAAGGGAATATATGAATGTATTGGTTTTCTTGTAGCTGTTAGGTCCTTGCCTAAATCTCCTAGACGCAGGAATAGGCTGGCTAGCTAGTTAATCAACCGTCATAACTACAGCTGACTTAACCACAAAGTATATTTCGTAATTTATTTAGTAGAAGTTAGTGAACAATAATTTTTATTCAAACTTTCAGTAGAATACTTGGTTACTGGTCAGTACATCTACGTAAGTTCTGTCAAATGAATACCTGCTTGTTCTATCTATAACTTTCATATTTCACAGTTGAAATCCAGTTGAATACACTATCTCCCATTCTCCCCTATATTATGAAATAATTACTTATTACTTACTGTGTAAGGGCGTAGGATTATGTGTGACTTCAAAGCAACACACAAACGGTCTGGTGAATAAGTACCGATTTTCAAAATGTTTTCCGGGAATAAGTTTTCCAGTTTTGAGATGCAGATAACCTACGCATGTTGTAATTTAGTAACAGAACGACTGAAAATAAGAAAGGATAAGGCATTTAGTCTTCTTCATTTTGTAAATAATAAGTTTCAGAAGCCCTCAGCAAACTTTGATGTAGGCAAACGAATAAAATATCCAGACAAACCCTCACATATCGAGTGGAACTATAAGATTAGTACAAAAACCGCTTTCGAGATCGGAATTACATTAACACTAGCAAAATCACAGGGTTTGTTGTAGACAACAGTTCAGAATCATATGATGTGCATATTTAAATTCCACCCAATATGTGTGTATGACTTAAGGGAAGTTGTCCTTCAGTTTGAATAAGTAATAAGTAGCTTACTTAACTCTCTGGCTGGCTGCTCACTTTAACCCATAATTTCACTAAAAAAGGTGCGAATTGTCAGATTTTTGGAACTGGTTAACAGTCAATAACCTTTACTGAGCTCTGTTTACTTCCAGGTTAGTTAACTTTAACTTGTATGTTTAGTGCCTGGAATAAGTAATAGCATAATGTAACTCAACACGGTATATGTTTCTGTATTAGGGTATGAGCCTAACCTATTAATACTATCCGGTTGTCTAGATCAGATTACAATTTTCTCTTTACTTGTCAAATATTTGAACTCTTCCTTCTTTATCATTTTCTTAATTCGTAGGTCCTTACTGAGACAGACAAGCTGTTGTATCTTATTTCTCAACTTCGCCACAGACTACCTGCACACTTGCACGCCCTGCGTATGCTTCTTCGTTTCGATATATTTGCTGAACAAATAAAAAAGGCGCTTCAAGCAGCACACATTTGTCTTTCTGAGATTCAACATTCACAATCACTCCGTCAAATTTTGTCATGTGCATTAGCTTTGATCAATGCTTTAAACGCTTCTAGACTTTGTTCGTCTGAAGAATGCAACCAGCCAAACCTTAAAACATCTCAAAGTTTCCTGTCACGAAAACCACTTGTAGGTTTTGAAGTTAGAAATTTAGTCCGCCTGGCTGACACACACGACGCAACTAATCAACGAAATTTAATTCACTACTTAGTAGAACTTATGGAACTCAAGTAAGAAATTCACTGTACTGACTTAAAGTTTTAAAAAAGATGCTTCAGTTATCATTTATTTATTACCGAAAAGGTAATAATCCCTAACTTCATCTGCTTTCTCCATATTCCAAATCGTGTAAAGAGGATTTGAAATTTATATGCACTAATAACCTAATTCGAACAAATATCGTAATTTATTGTTTTGACGTATGCTTACCTTAATCAACTAAATTCCAGGAAGTTTCATACCTCTACTGTCCTTAACGCATACAAGTTTACTGAGAGAATATTTCACTTCGAAAACTTCCAATCGTATATTTAAAATGAAAGATGGATTGAGTGAAGAAATAGTTCTTTCATTTAGTTTTTCATCATCGGCTCTACAATGACCCATAGTTTTGCATTTAATAGCAAAATAACATTAATTTATGACGTGTAATTTGACTAAAATAATTACAAATTTAAAATTCGTAAATATCTATAGTATAATGCAGGCCGGATTAAAGTCTATTTCGTTTGTTTAGAGATTTCTTACAAGTCTGAAAGTAGTTTCTGGACAAAAATCAGTTTCACTTCAGGTACCACCAAGTAATTCAATGTTAAGGGTTGAGGAATTCCAATTTGATAAAAAACAACTATCACTTATGCCTTATCCACAATTATTGATCCCGTGATATCATTTACCCACGACAGTCACTTAGTTATGGTAAGTATATTCCTAGCTGTAAGTTTCAATAGGTACCTTAACAGTTTGTCATCATACTAAATAGAAAATGAAAGCATCGCTGAACAGTGTCTCAGCAAAAACTCTAGGGATTTAATGGTAATTCGTACCTAATTATATAACCTGATTTTCATATTTCGGTAAGGTAGCTGATATTCGATAGATAAGTTTATTAGAACAAGACATATAAGCGAACAGTATTGTTTTCAATTAGATCCGCTTCAGGCTTTACTGTAATACAAATAGCTTTATATATATATATATATATATATATATATATATATATATATCACCAATCATGTAGATTTGTCAGTTGATGTGATAAGTGTTTTAAAATAACGATGGTAATAATAATACAAATAATAACAACGATAAAACTGATAACGTTGACTAAAGCACATGCATTATAGATGATAATCATGATAACAACCAAGAAACTATCATGAAAATGTAGACACTCCAATAATCAAAGTGGATAAAAAGCATATGAAAATAAAAGTCACATAATACTGAAGGACGGCGTAAGTGGATAAACAAAGTTTAGACAAATACAGTAAGTATGTGAAATGGGTGAAGGGTAAGAAAAGCGTTAGGAAAAAACTGAACGGTAAAGTTATTAACTAAGTATTCCCAAGCCAAGTGAAAGATGAAGGATGTACGCATTTATTCTGTATACAAAGACTGGGATTATTAGCTCGAATTCCCACAGCTTCTGCTATGTATAAAAGACGAGTCTGAATACCTTTTGAAAGATCAAGTGGTATGCAGTGAATAATCTTCAAAGCATTTTCCTGATCTACCAGGTGACCACTATCAAAGAGGTCGGATTACAACCGAGCTTCTGATGGATTTTATCAGTATCTTTCCAACCATGAAGGTAGATACTCAGCAACACATTTGTTAAGTTGCCTAGTAGCAAGCCCTATAAAGCTTTCTCTACAGAAGCATTAAACTTACTCATACACATAGGAATGGCAAAACTAGATACCTTATCTTTTGTCTGAGTAGCAACAATTGGTTGACTGGAAAATGATAGACAAAGTTGTGTAACGTAGAAGGTGCTCTTAAAGGCTCTAGAGAATCTCCGATATAGAGCTTCTCCTGCTACATCCCCATTAAATTGCAATTCCCTGAACAACGGTTTCTTTTGTATCGTAATAATCCCAGGTTTATTTCCCTTGACTTTGTCGATGTGTCTTTTTATGAAACTGTTAGGGTAGTTCATTTCAACCAATGAATTACGAATATATTCTAACTCCCTCTGTACTAGATCATCTAATTGAAAACAACATTGTTCGCTTATATGCCTCGTTCTAATTTACATGATGGGAGTTTTTAAAACTATTAGATAAGTTTGTAATGAATAAAGTAAACGAATGTCTTACCCTTCTATTTTTATAGTTTTACTAAGAAAGCTGACATATGGGCAGATGAAATCCCTACACTGGATAGAGCACATAGTTTGTACTGTGCCAAATCGATTGTAGAGATGGTAGTTGAAATGAAACGTGATATCGCTCGTTTGCAAATAGATATGCATGGAGTCGTTGAAGTTACAAACTCGATCAGTTCAGGATGCATACTTCGGTCATCCTCAGATCCCACAGATGATGCACTCAAAGCCAATTTGTCTTTCGGTACAGTGATGGGGAAGTTTCTACCTCACGCAATAGCCGAGGTCAAGTTAGTGGAGGAATTATATAAAGCTTTCACTGACCAATATAATGAGGTATGAATTTGTGAAGGTCATTTTCTTGACAATGTTTGTTCTGCAGAATTAGATTTACTTAATTCATTTAAACGGATCAACAGTTTCTTCAGCTACCTTCAACAGCTAGGTGACTGAAAAGCGTCAGTCGTTCGCACAACTCAAGGTCCGTCAGATTAGTCAAACTTTGATGTGTTTGCCTTTTATTCCATCTTCACTCATTGTGGGTAATATTCCTACATCCTCCTTCATTTCTTCCAGCCCTTCAGCCCTCCATAACAAGTCAAGTTCACGGAACAGCATCAATGATCTCCTGAAACCGCATTCGAAAAGATTCTTTGGAGCTTTCAACACCCGTACCCTCGCTCAAATCGGTTAACAAGCTTCGTTTCCCAAAACGCTAGCATCACAAACCATGGATGTATGCTATGTTCTTAAGATGCGGATATTAACTTAAACGTAAAACGGTTAGCATGATAAATCCACGAAATTCACTCTACGAGTTCCTAAGGATTAGATGGCAAGTTCTAACGGTCTTGCAGGCGTAGGTATGAAACTATTCAGAAAGTGCCCTTCTCTGCTGTATCTCAGATGAAAGTTGTCGATGTGTTATTCGACTCAACGACACACTGAGTGACACTTTCGGAGTCTCGCTCGGATGAACAAAGGACGGCTATCACCAGTCACGGATGTAACTGGACAACCGTCTTTTTCTGCCCAGCACGGACTTTAGATATGAAGGTAGGCACTGTCTGACACAAAGTCCACCGACTTAAAGTCAGCGATGGACCTGTACGAAAAATATTGCCATCAGTTGTCTCCGGAAAGAGTCTGTTAGTTGACGAGTGCTAGTCCTCCTGGAGCAAGCATTTGGATGGCAAACACGCCTAAGTTTCACCATACATATGTCTCAGCTTAAACATACATAGGAAACCTACAGCAGAAACAGAGTTTAGAGCACAGCTTTATGCTGAGAATACTGAAGGCGATTTAAACAAGCAACGGATGATACAGTTATTGATACATCACCTTATTGAAAGCTCTCTACTCGAACACTTGTGGGCATGTTAGAGCCTATGGTGAGTTGTCCAGGGAGCTATACTCATCAAGTGGTGTCCGTCAAGGATGCCCACTATCCCCATTCTTATTTAATTTTATCATAGATATTCTTATGGAGGTTTCCCTCTCGTCACCTAATTACAAAGACGTTGACCGGACCACAGGTGAATTTTCCTTAGATCTAGAATATGCAGATGACATAGTCCTGTTAGGTGAAGACGCTGACAAGATGCAGAGTCTTCTGAACACTTTGAGTGGGAATTTGAGAATGTTTGGGATGCGATTTTCACCACCCAAATGCAAATTTTTGCTCCAGGACTGGTCTTCAGCGGTACCGCGGTTAACAATAGAGAGTGAAGTGGTTGAGTGTGTTGACCACTTCACTTACCTGGGAAGTAGGATCAACTCCGGTGGGTTAGTTGCCGATGAGATTTCTGCACGGATACAAAAGGCTCGATTGGCTTTTGCCAATTTGCGCCACCTATGGCGCCGCCGTGATATTCGTTTGTCTATTAAGGGTCGCGTGTACTGCACAGCAGTCCGCTCTGTTCTACTGTATGGCTGTGAAACATGGCCATTGAAAGTGGAAGACATGAGAAGGTTACAGGTATTTGACCACCGTTGCCTTCGTAGTATAGGACGTATTCCGTGGTGTCACCATGTGAGTAATGCAGAAGTTAGGTGTAGAGTTTTAGGGAGAAGAGGTAAGTCAGTCGACGAGGTTGTGAACCTTCATCGACTGAGATGGTTGGGACACGTACTACGTATGCCTAGTCACCGATTGCCTCGTCACACAATGTTGGCTGAGGTGGGTTCAGGCTGGAAAAAGGCCCGAGGTGGCCAGACTAAAACATGGCACCAATGTATGAAGTCTCTGACTGTTGGTTTAAGCCATGTAGGACGATGCAGACTAGGTGGTTGGGGTCCACGGGACAAGAGGAACCAGTGGTTGGAGACCCTAGGTGATATGGCTCAGAACCGAAGTCAGTGGCGCAGATGTATACACACATTATCCTCATCTTAACAACGCTATACCGAATCTCACTATTTTGTCACTCCTCTTTCCTTTCTTCTCATACTTTATATTTCTTTTGACTGCATTCACTTATCTTCATCCTTCACCTCACTACCTTTTTACTTGATGTGCTGATATGAGGTGTGGCAACTCGGACCGTTACGCAGTAATGCCTGGTCCTATGTTGATAATGATGATGATGATGACAGTTATTGATAAAGAACAACATCACTCATCCAAAAGAAGTCTGGTGCCATCTCCAGTCCCCTGTAAAAGCAGTGATGAAGCACGTAACCGAACATCATACAGTGCTTAGATAGACCCATTAAATCTCAGCAGCCACTTCTGAATCAATGGATGCACGCATACACATCCATTCAGGCTCCGAGCACAATGAGGACCGGAGGCAACTCAAAGGTAGACTTACAAAGGTCTACACAATGATCACGAGCAGTGGTAAATAGCAAAGACCGAAGAGATGGAAAAGATCACTGTGACAGAAAAGCCGGGAGAGTTATTCAGACTGATCAAGGAAACTGGGCAAATAGGTCGGTGGTTAGTGAGATTATAGGGAAGAAGGATGCCTCTGCGATTCACTTGCCGGGAAGACGACTGGAACAACGGGCGGAAAACTTTGACAGAGGGTTCAGCTGGCCTCCAGCTAGCATTCGTCGCCCACCATTCAGTCAGATGGAGATGTGGATGATTGTTTAGGGCGTTCGACTTTCAGGCAGTCGGTTATGGGTTGGAACAACGCTCTATCCACGGAGGTCGAGACAGCCAGGAAGTATCGTTGGGCTCCACACAATAGATTTGGTCCACTGTCTACCACGCGAACGTGCAAAAGGCTGTCGAGTGAGCCTCCATTTCAGTCCGATCCTGTTTGATCCCAAATGGAACATCAGGATAGAACCCACAAAACCTGTAGAACTTGTGGAAGCTGTAGGCAACGTGAAATGAGGAAAAACCACAGGGCTAGATGGATTAGTCCCAGAGGTACACAAGGACGGTGGTACATGATCTTAACCAAATTAAATGAAGTGTTAACTGGTGTGAGCGAGTCAGATATTATCCCTTCTGACTAGTCTCAATCACTGATTGCCTCAGTCTTCAAGAAAAGATGAAAATTCTTCTGTGATTACCAATCACCCAATGGAATCGGTCCGGCGAGAATGGTGTCTAAGATTCTAGCCTCCATAACCATTGGACGTACAAGTGGGGCTCAGGAACAACAAACCGGAGGAGAAAAGGCAGGTTTCAGACCTGATTCTGAAGGCATTAACCAAGTATTCACTCTCCACTAGCTTCTCAGACATAGGCACACTTAGTGATGCTCGACACTAGCTAAAATTCCAGCCCTCAAATTAGCACTCGACTCCACAGATCGAAAGATCTTATGGTGGTGTCCCGCATTGCGGGTGGTGCCTGATGTGTATATAACTCTTTTGAAGAACCTGTACTCCGACACCCTTGGGTGTGTTAGAGCACGTGGTGAGCTATCAGGTGATCTGTGCACTTCAAGCGCTGTTCGTCCGCTCTCTTCATCCCGGTTCCATTTCATAATAGGGTTTCTTATTGAGGTCTCTCTCTCGTCGTCCGACTTATCACGGGGTGGTCTAGTCCCAGGAGAATCCCTCGCAGACCTAGAATATGCAAATGACGTAGTCTAGTTAGTTAAAGACGCTGACAAGCTGCAGACGCTTCTAGACATGTTGAGTGAAAATTTGAGAATGCTTCAGATGGCTTTCTGCCCATCACCTAGATGCAGATTGTTGTTCCACGACTGGTCTTCAGTGAGCCCTCATCTGACAATAGGTACTCAAGTCGTTGAGTCTGAAGAAGCGCTAAGTCAGGTCAGACTAAAACATGGCATGGGTCCATTAATTTCTTGACTGCTGCTCTAAGCCATATGGGAAAACTTAAGCTTTCCGATTGAGGTCCAAGTGATAACCAAAGTCGTTTGTCGGAGACTCGAGTGGAAGGGGCTCATAATCATTTTGAATGGCCTATATGGATCTATGCATTATCTTTATCTTAAACATATCTCTGAGTTTCATTACTGTCTCATTTCTTCTTCTCTTTCACGTTTTTCCACTACTTTAGTTTCATTTTTCTTCATTTCTCTGTTTTTCGTCTCCGTGTCTTTTACCTTAATGGACTGATACAAGGTATGGCGGCGTAGAACATTACGCTGAGATGCCATATTCCATGTTGATGTTGATTGACTGATACAGCTGCAGTATAACTTGGCTTGTACGTGATATGTCTGAGTTAAAGAGAACTGTTTGGATTCAAATATTTTCCAAATATTGAGATTTTACAAAAATATTTTTTTAATAATCCATTTGTCTAATGTCCATGCTGTTCAATTCTATTGGGGGAAATTTCCATCTTGAAGTCCATAAGACTAAAAATCTGTAACATATATCATGCCACAGTTGTCTTATGATACTGAAACTGGATCGTAGTCCTTGGGGACATACTGAAGGCATTCCGAAACATGTCTCAGGTTTATACATCATGTTACACTCACCATAGTGATATGACAGATAATAATTTGTATCCTATTGCATCGGCCATGATTACCGAACTGCCTAATGGTTTGGTTGGTTTCGTACTTATTTACTGTGACTGGGGAAATGAATTTTCGGTTTGTCATTGGAAATGTTTCATCAAACAATGATGCTTCGTCTAAGCTTAAGGTACAACTGTGCTGGGTATAGAGCTTCCATATTGGTAAATACCATTTGTTTGAGCAGTTACACAAAGTCTGCGGAAGCAGGTATATTTTTCAAAGAGACTGTCTATTCGCAGTCATCAGATGTCGTTAAATTACGAAGACTACAGTTTTTTATTCAAGCCACATATAACCCCTCCTGTATGTCAGTCATACAGGGACTATCCATACAATCCTAAAATAATTTCGTGATGTTAGAATGAATATCATGTATCCACAAAATGTCAACCTTGTAGAATTAGTTTCCTGATATACAAACAGCAGTAAGTTGCTTTATATTAGCTACCATCTTAAATGCGGTGTAATCAAGTAAAATGTGAATTCTGAGACCTCAACTTCAAAGTGGTGCATAGTCGTATTTCAAATGATGAAATATGCTTGGATGCTGTACTTTCACGAAATAACTATAATTGAAAATCAAAGAAACTAAGCGCCTTTATATATGGTTTATTATTATTATTTGTCCCTTGGGTTCTTAATGGAACATAGGGCTTCAGTAGCACCTCTCCAGTACACTCTGTTCGCCGAAATCTTTTGAACCTGGCTCCACGACAGCCTACAAGCTCTCATTTCTTCATCACACCATCTCCTCCATGTCACCCTCAGCTGGGACGCCCAACTCGTCGCTTCCCGTCGGCGTTCTACTCGAGGGCCTGGCGCGTGACGTCCCCGAATGGTCTTCTCAGTGCATACCCAATCCATCTCCACTTCCTTCCAGTGCATATTTGTTGGGTGATAGATTCTTGGTTGGTTCGTTCCCAGATTTCCTTGATGCTTATTCTTTCTGATCATCTGAGCTTCAGTAACGAGCCAGCGTAGGCAGGAGTTTGATGAATGTTTGTTTTTTGTCAGAAGTGCTTTTCGTGACGTGCCAAGTTTCTGAACTATATAGAAGCAATGACTTGATGTTGGTGTTGAAAATCCGCATCTTGTTCCACATGCTGAGTGCAGAAGATCTCCACACTGATTTCAGGTTAATGATCGCCTGTCTTGCTTGTCCAATCCTGGCTGGCTGACATCCTCGTCTGTCCCGCCTGTAGTTGAAACACGCTGCCTAGATAGGTGAAGGAGGCTACTTCATTTTAGTTTCTCCCGTTCATGGTGGTTGGAGTTTGTTGTTGTTGGAGTTGTTGGTGTGGTATCTTCATCACCTCTGTCTTCTCTATATTCACTTGAAATCCTGTCTTCCCTCCCTGCCTCTTTTGCCAACTTGTTAGTTTTCGCCTGTAGATCTTCAAGTTTGTGTGACATTAGACACAAGTCATCGGCGAAATCCAAATCTTCTAGGATCTTTTCCACAGTCCAGTGTATGCCCCTCTTCTCACTTTCCACAGTTTATTGCATGATCTAGTCGACCACAATTAGGAATATCATAGGTATATATGGTTAATACGGTAGCCCAATTATAACCTACGCAATCCTTTAGCCAGTTTACTAATCGCACTGATACTAATAGGCAGCTAAGTTTGAAGCAATTTTTAGGAAGGTTATTCTCTTCTGGATGCACATATATCCAAACTGTAAGGACTTTGTTAATCAGTATTGAGGAGAAGGAAAGAAATCCTCTTTCTCTATGGCTAAACATATTGTAGAAACGAGGAGCAAAACTAATGTTTAATTACTATTGCTAGTAAAGTATCACAGTTACGTATATCTGTCTTTTCATTATGGTAAATGTTATTTGTTCTGTTGACAACAGGTTGCTAACTATCTTATTCTGGACCAAACAAAATATACAGCTGATGAACTTTTCAATGATTTAAAATATTTCAAGAACTTTATCGGAAGGCCTTCAGCACACTTCAACAAAGCTGTGTGAAGTTTAAGATGTGAGAAATGACAATGCATTCGCTCTGCAGCCTACATGTGTGAAGAGAAGTTATTTACCTCCCAGCTTTGTGAGGCATATCGCCATTCAATGTTTTGTAACAGATTACCGATAGTTTTACTTTTGCATTTCAAAATATCTTTCAACGGTATTTTCTAGCGAAAAGTATAAGTGGTAGTTAGATTAAATAAAATTAACCAACAACTTTAACTATGATGTTCTCTTCCTTCCCGTTCCATTGGTTCGTATATCAGTTGACTGAGAATGTCAACTTGCATCGTTTCAGTTCGATCACTGTGTCTACTGAGAAAGAGTCGAAGGCAACCAGCTAGAAGTGCAGAATTACCTATGATGATTATTTCAGCAAATATTAGTAATATTTATTGTCCTTTTTAAATTATTAGTATTTGTGTGTAACTTCAAGTGAATTGAGCACTGATCATCACAATACAGCTCTGTTGCTGTTCGGCAATAACTTGGTGCGGAACAGTGAGTCCTAGACAAGGACACGCAGTTCAAATACTTAAAGCCAACCAATAAGCCAAGAAACACTTAAAAGAAAGCTAGTTTTATTTGAAGTCCACTCATCACCCCCTCTCCTCTTTACTCACTTAGTAATCTGCATATTATGCTGAATTAGACAGAATACGAGGGCTAACGAATGTTAGTGAATTAAATTACTTTTGAATTCAATCCCAGCTTCATTCCATTGCAGTAGATAAGCCACATAGGTCAGGCACATTTTTATGCAAATCATCAGACTCATACAAGTCTGCATTCATTTATTTGTCTTGTCATGCAGCCTAGCAAGTCTCATTTATTTTCTTGCTTATGAAGCCTAGTCAGAATCATGAACTCGATGATCTGCAGCTGTTCTTTAAGTAAACTACAACATCACTAACATCACAATTCTGTCGCTTACAGCCTTTTAAACTCATTACCTTAAAAATGAACTATAAATAAAACTGTAGCGTCACACACCTCTTCAGAATCAACAGCCTAGGGTTCGACAAGACTCAACATTGATGCTGACCTTGATAGTTTAACTGCACTCGCTAAGCTGAAGGCACCCGGTCAAGCATCCTCACCATTCGGCACGTTGTCGTGTTACGTTTCACTGCTCGTATTCGACTCCCTAGCCAGTTAGTTGGAACGCATCGATATCTTGGCACGACCTCGCAAATATACTATTCCATCCGACTACGTTATCGTGTTTTACCTTGGTCTTACATTCGTGGTATATAACAATTACGAATAATTAGTGGTTGGCCTCTGTATCTATCAAGTTCGCACCAGGACAATTCTTAAAAAGCCATGAGCAGCAGGGTATAACAAGCAGTTGTTCTACAAGGCAACCTGGAGATGTGGAAGGCATAAAATTGGTGATGCTTGAGTTAACTGTCAATTCCTATCGACTTTTCTAGTTTATAATCATGGTCCCCTTTTCTCGGTCTAGCAAAAGTCATTTCTTTGTAAACTGATATTTTTGAATGCATTCTTAAAATGGCCATAAGAAATTTTAGAGCAGTAACTGAATTCTACGGTTAAAAGAAAAATAATCAATAGCTTATGCATATAGATGAAATAGCAGTTCATGGATTGAAGCAACATGAGTAATTTGATATTACATAAAGCTTCAGACATATATATATATATATATATATATATATATATATATATATATATATATATATCCAGATATTCTGTAACGTGAACCCATGTGACTTTTCTTTCGCTTCTGTGGAACAACATGTAGTTAGCCTTTACACTGTATATATAAAGTGCAAGTCATTTTAAAACATTTTAGATTAATCCATCTGTTTGCGCGAATTTTCAATCTCCATAAAATCATATAAGGTCATATGTTGAAAACCATAGTGCCTGCAATTTTGCAGTGATAGAAATATCCGTAAAATCGCATCCAACGGATCTAGTGTGCATATAATGTAAACACTGTATCGGCGAATATACTACTTGTGCAAAACTTGCGATTAGTTATCCACATGTAAACTTTCAAAGTAGGCAATAAAAGAGTCTCAGTTTTATGATAAACAGCTGCAATAAGTAACAATAACAATGAGTACTGAACCCACTAAAAAGTCAGATGATAAAAGTGAGGATTGTAGAGATTCCTGAACGGCTTCAGTTAGTAGTCATAAAACTCGGGTTTAAAATAAATTGAAAAGCGAAACATCTAGAGTAAATGGAAAACTATGCCCATGTAATCACGCCTCATTTTTTTTTATCAGAACAGTGGGTGAGAACAGAAGTTTATGCATTAGTAGGAATGATTTTGGTACCCTTTCAGAAACAGAGACAAAATGAACTTAAAACTTCCCACAGAAAGGCATTGGTTCAAGTTGCCACACCTAATACTAGCATGCAAAGAAAACGTGAACAGGAAGAGACTCATATCAGAGCAGACGAAGATGTATGGGAGGAGAAACAACTTGAGGATGAAGTTTAGGGAAGATGTTAAATCTTTAGAAACGTCAAAGAGTGATTACATCAGCCCTATTGTGATCAGTTTTCAGACACTCTAGTCAGGGATTTGTGCGGTCTTAGGGACTCCAACTGTATTTTACAGTCATCTACACACCTCAGAATAACCATCAAACACTTCATAGACAAGTGACATGTCTTGGTCTGACCAACTTCAGCCTTCTTCCAAACTAATCCAGTTTCTCACAGCTTTTCACGTCAAGGTAGGGGGTGGCTCAGCATGCACTACACATGTCTAAGAAAATTCGCTGACTGAAGGTTGTCAACTGACAGGCCTAGTACCCTTCGCCTAACCTCGATGTTGCTCATACAATGATTCCACAGTACGCAAGCAAGGCTAAGAAGATACCTGCGATTAAATTCCTGTAGTCTCCTAATATCTTTTACTTTGAACGACCACATCCAGTAGTCATATAACTGGACAAAATGGACTGCAGTTAAGTATGTACATCCACTAGGCACCAGTCGGACATCTTATAAGTTGGGATCAAAGATTACCAAAGGTGGCAAGCACCAAACGGGCCTACTGCACCCTACCTGAGATTTCGTCAGCTGATGCAGCAAGCTGAGTAAGTGAGATGATCGACATATTCCACCACTTCACTCCCTATACTCAAGCTGGGAGTGGTCACAGACAAGTCCTAAGGCATAATCTTACATTTGACAGGTAAGAAAGGCATGCCAACATACTCAAATTTCTTCTTAACGAGTTTAGAAGATCCTGTGTTTGTCAGCGTCTTTATCCAGCAAGACAATATCGTCCCCATACTCCCAACTTAACCACTGGTATATCTGTAACCAAAAGTCAATAAGAACTGTGACAGTGGCTACCCCTGGCAGACACCACCAGTTGTCATCAGTTCTGATGACCACTCTCCATAAGGCCTTAAACGACTGTGTGAGTTCCAGTAGAGAGTTTTGATTAGCATCACACTTGCTGGAAACTCTCTTCACAATCACATACTGTCACAACACCTCACAGTTGACAGAACTGATTGCTATCCAATTACTGTCTACCTTAGGATCTTGAATATGATACAGGTCAAAGTGACCCCCCAATGGTTGTCCCAAAAAACTTCTCTCCCTTCTTATGGACTGAAATGATCGATGAAGTAAACCAGTCTGATGGCACCACGTCTGCTTCTCATATCTAACTTAGTTCGTTCGTTACTACATACATTAATTCCCTGCCTCCATCCTTAAAACATTCAGGTAACAACTCATCAGGTCCTACTGATTTACAACGATTCAGTTTCGAAGCATCTTCATCAACTTCTTCGACAACTGGAGGACCGCATGTAGGTCACATTTAGGTCCAGGCTTTTATGCTGTACAGCTAAAGCGTTGTTGTAGTTCAGACGAACTGCTTTTCGCCTTTTTTCGCCCGACGTTCCAATAACCCGTCATTAGGGGTTTTCTATTAACTCTTCTTGTTCGGTGACATGCTCTTTAACGATCGTCTTATTCCTGCCAGTATCGTCAACAAGCCTCACTAATCACAAGGTTTTGCATAATGTTGATGCCTTCTCCATCTTCATTGCCTTTACCATACATTGTTGCTTACAATCACTGCGTATACTGCTAATCAATTTAGGTCATGGCTGCTGTCGTTCCTCATCGATGAGGACCATATTCATGGTCTTAACCTGCTGGACTGAGTCTTATCACATCAATCATTTCAGATAGGACTGCGGAAAACCACAGAATTCTGTTTACTTTAAGAAGTAAGTTACCCACTATCCTTATCGTTATTTCCGTAGCAGACTGAACAGTAAGTCAGTTTTCATCGTGATGAGGATTGGTGTCATGTTCAGAGAAATGCTCAGCTATCTCCCCCTTAAATATGCACTTCATGTTCTCATCTTACGGTCGAGGATACACCGACTTAACTGTCACCCATTTTCTGCGACCAGCAAGGTGACAACAAATAAGTGCTCGCAGTAACGCATGATCAAAGTTAAAATACGTACTCCAGAAAGGGTGGCGATCCTCTGTGACAATGACTGATGGCAACATACCGTATGTCCGTCCATCATCGGTGTGGCGTCAGTGGATACCCAGTAGATAGATAGATAGATAGATAGATAGATAAAATCATCGTTGGACCAAATAACAAACAGGCTGTAGCCTCACACACTTCCCCAAAATCAATAGTCTGGGGTTCTACGACATTCAACATTGATGCTGACCTTGATAGTTTAACTGCACTCGCTAAGCTGAAGGCACCCGGTCAAGCATCCTCACCATTCGGCACGTTGTCGTGTTACGTTTCACTGCTCGTATTCGACTCCCTAGCCAGTTAGTTGGAACGCATCGATATCTTGGCACGACCTCGCAAATATACTATTCCATCCGACTACGTTATCGTGTTTTACCTTGGTCTCATATTTGTGGGTATATAACATTTTCGAACAATTAGTGGTTGGCCTCTGTATCTATCAAGTTCGCACCAGGACAAATCCTAAAAGGCGTAAGGAAACACTGCATTC